CTCTGCTGTGTAAGGACATGGACATCTCCCTTCACTATCTGCCTCTTGTTCTCTGCTAGGTGAATGCTTATTCTTCATGGTTCAACTCACACGTCAGTTAGCTTTCCAGGGTTCTCTTCTCCCTTCCCAAGTGTTCATTCAATCTGTGAATGTTTATTAAGCAGCTTTTTAATGCTAGACACTGCAACAGAGAAAACAATGAGCAGGTTCAATTCTGCCCACCTGCAATCACTGGCAATTAAAGATTCATTCATTCTGCCCTTTTTTTTAGGATCTGCTCTGAGGCAGGCATTGGAGATATTCTTCCGACAAGTACTTGTCTCAGAGTTGCGTTTATAGGCTGCTGTGTCTCTGCTGTGCCTCCATTTTGATCCTTTTTTTCAGCATATGGTCTCAGTGTACTGTATTTGTAACTTTCTCTAGCACCTGTAGACCTACTGACAAGAGCTTATCCTGCCTTAACTGATTTTTATATTCCAGACTTTTGGTGCTGGTTTTGTGTCATTGACTCAAATATTTCCTCCACAGGAGTACAGACCCAATCTTTCTGCAGACTGGGGCTTTCAGAGATGATAGATGGGTGGGGTGAGGTCATACAGATGTCTTTTTTTTTTTTTTTTCTGAGACAGAGACCTAACTCTGTTGCTCTGGGTAGAGTGCCGTGGCATCATAGCTCAAAGCAACCTCAAACTCTTAGGCTTGAGCGATTCTGTTGCCTCAGCCTTCTGAGTAGCTGGGACTACAGGCATGTACCACTATGTCTGGGTAGTTTTTCTATTTTTAGTAGAGACAGGGTTTCACTCTTGCTCAGGCTGGTCTTGAACTCCTGAGCTCAAGCAGTCCACTCTCCTCAGCCTCCCAGAGTGCTAGGATTATAGGTGTGAACTGTGTCTGGCCTACACAGAGGTCTTGAGCAGATGTACCTTAAATTAATGTATGTTGAATGAAAACAAGACCTAACATTTGAAACTCACAGAAAATGGAAAAATGGGATGGTAAGCTTTTTGGGATTGGAGGTATGCAAGCTGAACTAGGTAGTGGGAGATTGCTGTATGCATCCCAGGTATCCCAGGTAAGTTCTGGAGTCATTCACCGCCTCCTTCTGTTTCCCAGCTTTTCCTACTCTTGCCAAGAGGGAGAAACCAAGGAGCTGTGGTCATCAGGTCACCATCTGAAGTCCTGCCGAGCTGTGGCCTTTTCTGAAGATGGGCAGAGTGAGTACTGGGGAAAGCAGACACTGGGGTGGTGGGAAGGGAGCAGTGAGCAGCACCATGATCTGGGTACCTTTTCCCCCAGAACTTGTTACTGTCTCCAAGGACAAAGCCATCCATGTTCTAGATGTGGAGCAGGGCCGACTAGAAGGACGTATTTCCAAGGCTCATGGGTAAGGGGAGTCAATTGTGTGTATGTGTATAGAGGTGGGGGTAAGGACTAGGAAGTCCCCACTGGGACAGATGCTCCAGTAAGTTCACTGTCTGTGTCTCCAGTGCCCCCATTAACAGTCTGTTGCTGGTGGATGAGAATATTTTGGCCACAGGGGATGATACAGGTTGTATCCGTCTGTGGGACCAGCGGAAGGAGGGCCCCTTAATGGATATGCGGCAGCATGAGGAATACATTGCAGACATGGCTTTGGATCCAGCCAAGAAGCTGCTTTTGACAGCCAGGTACAACCTCAAAGTGTCCCCCACCTCCCCCTTTAAATGTTTTCCTTACAGGGAGCTCTGGGCTAAGTCTACTGCTCTCATCTCTACAGTGGAGATGGCTGCCTTGGTGTCTTCAACATCAAGAGACGCCGGTTTGAGCTGCTCTCAGAGCCTCAGTCTGGAGACCTGACCTCTGTCACCCTCATGAAAGTATAGTTTGGTCTGGTGGGATGGGGGTGTGTGTGCTAGAGGCTTGATCCGAGGCACCTCTATAGACCGGGTTTGCTCCACTTCCCTGCAGTCTGGGAAGAAGGTCACCTGTGGCTCCAGTGAAGGTACCATCTACCTCTTCAACTGGAATGGCTTTGGGGCCACAAGTGATCGCTTTGCCCTGAGAACTGAGTCCATTGACTGCATGGTTCCAGTCACTGAGAGTCTACTGTGTATTGGCTCTACTGATGGAATAATCAGGTGAGGGAGGCCAGGACAGCCTGCAGGTCATAGGGATGGCAGGCTCAACTAGCCAGTACCCAACACTGTTCTTTCCCTGTCAGGGCTGTGAACATTCTGCCAAACCGAGTGGTGGGCAGTGTGGGCCAGCATGCTGGAGAGCCTGTGGAAAAGCTGGCCCTTTCCCACTGTGGCCGCTTCCTGGCCAGTAGTGGCCATGACCAACGCCTCAAGTTTTGGGACTTGACCCAGCTGCGAACTGTGGTGGTGAATGACTACCGTCGGCGCAAAAAAAAGGGAGGGCCGCTGCGGGCCCTGAGTAGCAAGGCTTGGAGCACTGATGACTTCTTTGTAGGACTGAGGGAAGAGGGAGAAGACTCTGTGGCTTGGCAGGAAGATGAAGAGGAGAGCGACGACAGTGACTGAGGGTATGAACTGAATCTCAGGACAGGTTCTCACTAAGAGTCTTATTTGTTGGGCTGGTCCCAGAGAAGATGTGAATTTTAATACCCTTTTGTGCAGCACAAGATGATGGCCTCAGGACACTGATGTTAGGGAAGTACTTGTGCTGTAGCTGTTAATCTACCAGTGTCAGACAAACCCTATATTGGGGCAAGACAGCACAGACACAAGTGTGTACTAACCAGAGGTTTAATATAAATACAACCAGTATAGAAAAACTCAAAACCATACATAAGCCCAAATCGGAGTGCCAGTGGCAGGGACAAAGAGTAGAATTTCTCACCCTTTGACTCAGCCAGCCCTTCCCCCTAAATAAAAATAAAGATTCATGCTAAGGTGTGTATGTGTTTGTGTACAGGGGGTAGGGCAGATACAGATCACATAGGGAATACCCAAGAAGACCAGGGTCAGGTTAGATCCTGGGTAAGACAGTGAGGGCAAGGACCCCTCACAACTTAAGCCAAACCTGAGCCAAGCCCAGGTGCCATGGCGCTCTCCCCCAGCAGGGAGAATGTGTCAGGCCTGGGTATGCCCATCCTCCTTTTGGGGTCAGATAGTGGTGGCCCAGGCCCGCTGGGCTGGGGAGAGACATAGGCTCTGCCTACCCATCTGGGCTTCTTGTAGAGAGAGTGGGGTCACTGCTTAACAACGGCACCTGCCTCAGCCCCAGGAGACCACAAGAGGCTGGCCCCAGACTCACTCAGTACCTCCAGTAGCCGTGCAGACACAGCATCCTTAGCTACTTCATGCCCATCCTGCCCATCTGGGGCAAGCACAACCCAGATGAGGCCACTGAAGGGCACTGGATGCCCAGGGATCACCACCTGGTACCAAAAGCGATGCCAGCCAGTAGGTCCTGTGCCCAAACACTTGGTAAGGAACACCGGGCTGCCCAGCTTCATTTGTTGGCACAACAACTGCAGGGCAGCCCGAGCCCCTTGGAACCCTATCTTGTCCCTGGTCAGGGCCAATCGGCTGCCCTCTGGCTGTAGACCTTTCAGAGAGGGACCCACAAACTGCTGGCGGAGTCGCTGCTTCAGGTCAGGCTTGAGCCACTCCACAGTCACTTGCTCTCCACAGAGGTGTGACTGGCCTGCAGGAAAAATGCAGAGACAAGGGCAGGTTTAAGCCCTGGGCCTAAATCTCCAGACTGTGAGCCCTCTTGAATTAGGCCTTTGTTTGATTCATAGCCTCCCCATTTCCTGATAGTGTGACCTTGGGTAAGAGAAGACAAGCCTTCTCTAGGATTATCTTTAATTCAAAAGGGGGTACAGTGGTGGCTTATACCAGTAATCCCAGCACTTGGGAGGCCGAGGAGGGTGGATTGCCTGAGCTCATGGGTTTGAGACCTTATCTCTAAAAATAGATAGCATTGTGGCTGGCACCTGTAGTCCCAGCTATTCAGGAGGCCGAGGCAAGAGAATTACTTAAGCCCAAGAGTTGGAGGTTGCTGTGAGCTGTGACTCCATGGTACTCTACCCATGACGACAAAGTGAAACTCTCTCAAAAAAAAGGGGAGGAGGATATAATACACCTGCTATCTCCCTTAGTTTCTTTATAACTGTCATAACTAATCTATACCTAGAATACTTGTCATGAGTCAGGAAACTCAAAGCTAAGTATCACATAGCCATCATGTTACTTCTCAATACAGTCTGAAGAAACAGGTTCTACAGCAGGTAATTGGTAGGTTCAGTTGGATTTCTTTGGGCAAGGCAATTTTCTCTTATAACAGTGTCTTTAGGATGTTGAGATGTATGTAAGTCAGGAGGTAATGCACCAGGAGCGTTCTAATTTAGGTAAGTGGTGATAGTAGCACCACTAGAAATTTAAAAAGCCTGATCAAGTAGTGAAAGGTTGCAAACTCAAGCATGCTTGCCTCAAGACTTTTTGACTTTATCCGCTACACATAAAGTTCCTGGCACAACGCATTTGGCCCGGCCAGCCGCCCTCCTCCTGCTCGCTCCCCACCCCCCCATCTGTACCCCTACCTTCCACCAGGGCCTTTTTGGCCATGGCAGCCGCCCGATGCGAGCTAAACTTGAGCAGCGCGATCTGCGCGGGCGCCGGCCCGGGGCTGGGCAGCAACCGCGCCTCCTGCAGGCCGGGACCCAGGGGCTGCAGCGCAAGCAGCAGCGCGCGACGGCTCAGACTCGCCGGCAGCCCGTCCACGCTCAGCTCGCACTTCTCCGTGCTGCGGCACACAAGAAGCGGACAAGACGGCCGCAGCGGGTGATTGTGCAGCGTGGCGATAGCTGCCTGCGCGCCGCGCCGCGAGCTGTAGCGGGCGTAGGCAAAGCCGCGGTTCAGGCCACTGAAGGTCATCATCAGGCGGAATTCGTAGAGGCGGCCCACGCGCTGGAACAGTGGGATCAGCTGGTGCTCGTACACGTCCTGGGGCAGCCGCCCAATGAACACCTCGGACCCGGCTGGCGGCGGGCTCCCCACCCAGCCTGGGGGAAAGGGGTGTGGAGGGCACCGTCATCCACCGGGATGGTTCCGAATTCAGAACCCTCGGAGCCCAGGGATCCAGAGCGGGGAGGGGCAATGTTAAGAAACGTCTGTTTAGTGGGTACAACACCGTACCTCGGCTTGTTGTCCTAATTAGGTGCCTGAGTTAACCACCGGGCTAAGACAGAGCAGGGGCACCTAAACTCCCTTCCTAGATACGGCGGGTGGGTGGGGAGCCAGACAAATTTCATCTGCCTGGGGCTGTAAATCCGGGTAGTTGGGGTTTCTGTTGGAGGGTGAGGGCAGGCCCCTCCCCCAAAGGGGGCCGTTCCGGGTTGATGTAGCGCTGCAGGCATAGGGGCCGAGACTACCGTACCTGGGGGTGGCCCGCCATACTTCCTCTGCCCGTTCACCTGCACCAGGCGGATGCCAGTCTCCCTCACCCACGCCTCCAGCGCCGCCTTGTTCTCTGGATTCACCCTCTCGCACCACAGCTGCGAGGGAAAAGGTGGGTTGGAACGCAGGATCCTATTGCCCGCTACCACCTCGCTTGTGGTATTGGGGGGTCCTTGTGTGGTACCCCCGCGCAGGTGGAGCTCGTTGGCCTCCTGTAGCCAATCACTTACCTCACACTCCCGTTTGGACTGCATGGTCTCCCGCGGGCTCCCTCGTACCTCCTTTATAACTTCCACCCCAATCGGTCTCTGGAAGTTTCCCTACCCTTCCACCCCGCAAGCTCTCATTGGCTCTGAACACGACCCCGCCTTCCAAGGGGGTGGAGGTATGCACTGCACGTGCGCCGCGGGGCCTCGGACCCTCAGGTGGAAGCTGGAAACAGTAGCAGGCAGGTCTGGTTCTCAGCTCTCAGCTCGCCGCAGTCTCCTGAGGAGCGGCTCACAAACCGCAGAATGGGTGTGGGGGGCAAGAACTCTCAGGTCTCCCTTCATCCCGGGGAAGAGCCTGTGGGGGTGTACTGTAAGTCCTTCTCCCCTTCCCACTCCTAAAGTGGTCTGAATGAGAGGCTCAGGCACTGCCGGGAAGGCAGGGCTAGGCAGTGACACAGGCAGTCTCCAGTGGTTTAGGCATTTTATTGGCCCTTGGCAATTGGTAGGGAGGCATCCGCTTCATCTGGCGTGAGGCCCAGCAGGTAAGACCATCTAGGGCCAGGTCCCTTTAGCCCAAGAGTACAGATTGGACCAAGCTCCTGGGGCTGTCTGTGGAAAAAGGCCTAGTACCTGGCCATTTTTACCAGTAATTACCAATAAAATAACCATAATAAAAATGGTAAAGCCTCTGTTCTGACCACTTTTTAAGTCTTCCTGCTGGAACAGAAATGTGCAAAGGTTGTTAAAGTACATATGCAGAGTTTTGTCTTAGCCTCAAGTAGTGCCACTTTCTTCCCTCCTGACAGTTTGCTCAGTTCAGCAGATGCAGAAGGGCTGGCTTGTTCTCCTTTTGAGCTCCTCCACAAGGTCTTCTCTTCGGACATCCACCTGGTGGGAGGGGGTGGAGGAGTGGTGTAAGCATCTTCCACTCCAGTGCTCCCTGAGTGCCTACTTCCTCCTCTAGTCATCAGGTTTGGCTCAGCTGGGAGCAGGAACCCAGACACCTCAGGATAGACAGTGCTTCTTGGGAGAGCCAAAAAGACATTGGGTATATGTGGGATGGAGATCTTACCCTACCAAGGCAAAAGGTCAAGTCCTTAGGTCCCTTATAAGTTGGTGCTAACATGAATGCTGGGCTTTTGCTCAATTCTTGAATGGGGATGGACCTGCCAAGGTGGCATACATTCCCTGTCCCATAGCCTTTCTGCCAAGTCCTCCTCACCTCTTCCCTGCTAGCCACTGATCGAAGCTTGATGACCCCGTCCTTGAGCTCCTGCTCGCCAATGATGGCCACCAGTGGGATGCCTGCCTCCTCGCAGTATTGCAACTGGTTCAATAACTTGGGGTTCTTCTTGTAGATCAGTTCAGCCTGCCAGGGACCAGAGCAGAAGATGAAGGCTGGCTTCTGCTGTCCTCAGAGACAACCTCTGGGGGCCCAAGCTAGCACCTTGCTCTTTATTTTTAATTTTTATTTTTTTGAGACAGAGCCTCAAGCT